ATACCAGATGACCCTATCAGTGTTTCAATACAAACCCAGAGTCACAAAAAACGCCTGTGTCCACCACTGTCATTAAATAAGCCAACTATACCGGAACATTCTACAAGGAAATATGAGAGTCAATCCAAAAGCGGTATTTAGAACTGAAAGAAAGAAAGCATCAAGTCATGAAAGGAGGAGTGATGAGCCATGGTCAAAATCACTGAATAAAAGTATTCAAGGTATATTTCCCTGGAGTACACGCTGTCACACACACACACAAGCAAAATCAATGCACTGATGGAAGAACTGAGTTTTGATTTGCTTCTGAATTTCTGTCATCTGTCAGGAGACTTTTTGGTCTGACACTGCAGATCCTACATGAACAGTGCTGATACTGGTCTTAATGAAAACTTGGCTTAGAAAGAGCCACAGTCAGTGCAGCTGCTTTCTCCTCCACATTTTGAAGATTAAAGATATTAGAAGTAAAACACAGAAAATGATTCATGGCTCAGAAATCGAACTTGTACTGGGAAGGTAAAAAGCGTACACTGGAGGAGATGGAAAATCCATAAATCTGAGCTGTGTAAAAAACATCTCCCCCTTAAATTCTGTCTTTATTATAGCAGAAATCGGACAAAAGAAAAATACACTCAAGGAGAAAGGCAAATCTACAGCAGAATAGTCAGCCTGTTCTCCTCTGGACTTACAAACAGCAGACTCAAATCAAAATCCTTGGAAGTCCTTGGGAAAAGGATACTCTTAGCAGGTTACAAATATAGGAACGGAAAAAAACCCCAGTATTTTCCTAAGGGGAATGAAGAGGAAGTCTTGATAAGGTGCCAAAAGTCACAAAACTGATTCTGATTCAAAATGATTATTGATGAAATCTCTGTAGCAGTAGCCCCAACACAGTAAGCTAAGATCATCAGTATGGTTAGAGAAGAAATTACCACATCCGTTTCTGCAGCCTTGATCTACCATCTCGGGCTGAGCTTACACAGAAAAATAACCCCATGTACTTGCGGCACTGTGTAACGGGAGAAGAATCAAGATGCCCATCTGCATTACAGTGGAATAACACAAAAAGTTGGACAAGGTCTTTCTACCACTGATCGGACAAGGTCATACTCAGCAAAGGCTGAGGAGTACAGGTGCTATTACATTAGTATTAGTACAACTGTAATAGGTCTCTAAAGGGATTTTAATCAAAGATATTTGAAGAGTAAAGCTGTTTAATTAGAGGTTCTACACTGGCTCTTTTTTCTAGATCCTGCAAAGAATATATTCATTTGAGAAAAAGAAGAGTAGTTTCCTTATCCAATTTTACTATTGAGTTTCAGGACTGGTTTTCCCTTTTTAACTGCCCTTGCCATTCTCTAAATGCAATGCTCATGCAGCAGTGTCCAGGAAGGACAGCTTTGCTTTAAGTCTGGGTAGATTTGACATTTGCTCAAAATCCTTCCTTGATCTTTGGATACAGTACAATGCCCCAAACCCCACCAAATCCATATCCTGGTTATGCACCTGCTCTCCGCAAAATTGGACAAGTCTGCTCTCCTGGTAAGTCACCACTTAGAGAAATCATAAATTATTTAGAAACCACTAAAATAGCAAATGAAAAAAGGGACTTCCTGGATATTTTATCCAAGGTACAAGACAGGCTCCAGGCAAGATTTATGGGATTTTTGCCACCATGACCAGATGAGTCTTCATCATTCTGGTACAACATGGCAGCTTAAGCAATCTTTAGAGGGGTAATAAAGGTCCTTTTGGCTGACTACTTTTCAGGATGCAAACAGTGCTTTGTGAGGTGTAGTTAAATATGAAAAGTACTTCTGGAACACAAAGATGGATAATCATGCATGGCCAAGTTTTCTGGTTTTATTCCCAGCAACAGCCACCATCCAAGCTTGTCCAGAGCAGCCTTAATCAGGTCATAAATCAGTGGAATAGAGAAATGAAATTGTACTTTGTGGGACCAAAAGAACATCCATATTTCCAAAAGAAGAATCTAGTGATTTTTGCAATCACAATTCTGCAGTAAGTGTACCACATTCCTGATGCTCCTTGGTCCGTGTCAAACAAATGACACTGAGTCGAATGATTCTCAGATTTACTTTGGTCAGTCAATAGCATAGGAATGGTTAATTGTTGTGGCTCTCATTGATGAATTGATTCTTTCTGAACTTGATGGGTATGGAAGGAAAGGAACTGCATGAGACAAGTATCTTTTTCTTCTTTAATCTTCCTTGCCCTCAAATAGCAAATTTTCAGCTGTCTGCTCTTATGGACTGCAAAGGCCAGCAGCTCTGCTGCTGTAATTCTCACGTGAGAATACTGTAATTCTCACGTGAGAATACTGTAACTCTCACATGAGAATATGGCCCTTCATGTGCTGCAAAGTACCAGTAGACTATGAACTCATAAATCACATGCCGTGGACAACCCTCAGGGCAATATGAGAGAAGCCGCCACAGGACTGGCAGACCCTACAACAGCAACGACAAAACCTTCTAAATAGGTACATTTTTATCTGACTGCTTATGCACTTTTATCTTTTCTACCTTCCTTCCAACCAGAGCAATAATCTCTATTTCTTTGCCTGTCTTTATATCTCTAACTGAATTTCGTTTACCACCTTCAAAAATTACACAATAGCTACATACAAAATACATGCAACTGAAATTGCTGTGCTGTTGTGAGTCAACATTTTTTAACCATGCTGACTTTGATGCATGTAATATATCCAAAGTGGATTAATTGTTTTTCAACATCCCTTTCCACAAGTTCGGCACTTTGGATCTTTCTTTCCTTTGGAACAAAAGCACATTTTGAAATTTGGGAATTTTCCCCAGCACAGAAACCTTGTTTTCCACAGGCTCTAATCCATGGTGAGACAGTTCTGGTCTGGGGTACAGCAAGTGTTGTCTATGGTCAAGAAAGAACATGAAGGAGAATGCTTAGTAAATGCACTGGGAATATAAAATGGATGCTTTTACTAACTGTCAAGGACTGGGTTTATAGTATCTCCCATGAGAAAACTTACACAGGTTTTTGACAATAATATATGGTCATGGAAGTAAATTCAAATTTATTCATAGGCAAAGTTTTTTTTTTAAACTATAAATCATATCTGTAAAGTTAAAAAAAAAATTCAATTAATCAGGATGTTCGGAATACAGCCATTCTGTTTCCCAAATGGCTGCGTCACTCAGTCAACTCTCATAAAGGCCCCTGTCTGCTCAAATGAGGTTTCATTTATACTAATATTTAGAAATGGCTCACACTTTAGAGGCTATTTCTAGCAGCACTCAGATTTAGGATATGAGGAACACAGGTGCAACGAAGATGCTATTCATTATTTCACAGTCATCAGTTTTAACAGCCTATTACCAAAACATTTATCAAACACAGCTGAGAAAGAAACACACACAAACTGACCTGTGATTAGTCAAACACCATAAATAACAAGCATCGAATAGACGATATGCAAGTTTGCAAATGTCCCATGATATTTGTTTCATAGAATCATAGAAACACCCATGTTGGAAAAGGCCATTGAAATCATCAAGTCCAACCATCACCCCAGGACTGCCAAGGCCACCACTCAAGCATCAACGGAGTTTTTGAACACTTCCAGAGACGGTGATTCTGCTCGTTAGGCATTGGATTCATTAACAAAATCAGGAGAGATCATTTGCACAACCCAGAAAGACCACAAACAGAAAAGAGGCTAAGCATATTTGCTTGTATCACTGCGCAATGGCCTAGGGTTTTGAGACACCAGACTGCAACCCAAACAACTTTCGCACTCATCCTGCTGGATGACTCTGAGTGTGTTATTTCCTCTCAGTTGGGATTAACTGCTTTAGTTTAAGGCAGGAATAACTCTACTGACCTTCTTTGTAAAGTACTTAGAAATATGCAGATGGGAAGCATGTAGCTGCAAAGCAGCAGAGGAGGAAGCACAAACCATACTCATCCCTGCCATGCCATGTTAGATGCTGCTTACAACCAGGTTGTTCAACCTGAATGTTCGATGCCCACCCATCACTGCAATCTCATAGACTGCCTTACAGTACTCTTCACCAGCATCTGAGGATGGATTTTGTATTCCTTACAGACCATGAAAACACCAGTTATTGTAAATTAGATCAGGCAACCTTTCCTTACTGCACCTCTTGCAACAGAATGTCCTTCAAATACAGAGGACAAATATAACTTGTGTGACAACTGCATACAGCTTAAGTTTTCAAGTGTGATTTTAAAAGGGATTTAAGCAGTTGCTCTCCCTTCGGTGGTGAATTTCACCTTCTGAAATATCACAGAGATTGAAGGAGGAATACACTCCTCCTCATTGCAACCCAACCTGTCTGTGTGTATGTGTGTGTGAGAGAGAACTGGAAATTTATCCATCATACCGACTTACTCTATCACCTGTTGATCAAACTGGAGGACATGCAACTCCTATCAGCACTCAGCCTGCACGAGAGGTTACCACAGAAAACTCTCAATGTTTTACATAGAAACATCTAGCCCAGATATGATTAACACTTGATAACAATCCTGTCAAATTTTATACACCTTTAAACAGAGTTTACAGCAATAAGGTTTGCCAAGATGCTACTATTCATATCCCATAAACACATTTTACAGTGATATGCATATCAGTGATAATGACGCTGACAATAGCAGTCAACAGAAGCACAGATGTTGAGGAATATTCTTAGGCAACATGTATTACTGCTTATATCCCCAGAAACTTAGTTGAATACTCTAAGTTGCCACCTTTACTATAAAATACAGACAAATATTGGTATTTTAAATGCAAAGTTGAACCACTTTATGTGCAGCTTCATAGACAAAATTTCTTAAATCACATTATGCTTTCACAGAATAAAGTCTCTTCAGGGACAGCCACTTCTCTGAATTTGCATGGGGTGTCTAAAATGTCACCAATTTACAATTTAGTTTGCTTTCTACAGAGGAGTTAAGTGAATGAAAACCAGCCAACTTACGATCTCCTTGACAACGCACGGGACCCACAGATATCTTGGCTTCAGATCCAGGCCGGTCAACGTCTCCAACCACTATCTGACTCACTGGTAGGTGCTCTTTATATGACAACATCCCAGTGTCTTTTCTCCTGAATGACAGAGAAAAAGAAAGCAACTGTGAAACAGATGAAAATAATTTCCTTGAACATTATTACTGTTCAATGAACTAAGCACCAAGAGAACAGGTATGCAGCGGTTACACCAGTACAGTGTTACCCACCTCAAACAACATCAGTTTGACAATAATGCTGTCTGTTTACTGGGAAACAAATGGATAGCAGCTACTGTCACCCAGGAACACAGGCCGAGTAGCATGGCCAGTCCTTGACTCAGCTGGGCTTGTGTGGGTCTCCCTGCTTTCCTGACTGACCAGCTCCATGTTAGTAGCTAACAACTTGCTGTTGATCTTGCTGATGATGTCTTCTGAGAGGGAAAGATACCCTAATGCTTCCCAGAAGTGTATCTTTATTGCTCTAATTGCTGCCAGTTATTTTACCTCTGCATACCAAGTGCTTCTTTTATATTTAACATTTTTAGTATTAAAAGATAGAAATAAAAAACTCATTATCTAGAAAGCTTGTCATAGTCCTGTCATTTCTAATACTAAATGACTAAGTCAAAAAGCTCTAAACTTGTGAATCTAACCACGAGTATAGAGTTAAAACCCCACTTTAGTTAGCAAGATCACTAAAATTCAAATCATAGTAATGTCTAAAAGCTCCTCATTTCACCTGCAGTGAAATGCAGTAACCTGGTGCCTTTTTCATGCCTAGGTCAAATCACTAAGCACAGTTACAACACGTATCCTTTCTCATTTCAGAAACTGAATGCAGCTGGCATGTTGAGTGCTCTTTCTTCCAAATAGCAAATAAAATAAACCAAAATATATCAGATACTTTATCTCTAGGTGCATTTTTGTTTTTTTGTTTTCTTATTGTTTGGTTGGTTCTTTTTCAACATAAACACATGGAAGGCCACAAATATCCACACAGGAAAAAACGCACTACATACAGTGTTAGGAATATGCTTTCTGACACAAAAGAAAGTAAGAGGAAGCAAAATTAAACCAGCTTTATTGCCTCTTACTTTTTAACTGTACCTTGGCATGTAACCGAGTATCTAAAGTAAGCAACTTCTTGATCTAAAAATTCATTTCTTTGTTCAAAAATACCATAGGATGAAGAATGAATTGAGGATCTGGAAAAGTTACTGAAGAGCACAATGTGACTAACTGGGATCTCGTAAGGATTTCAGGAAACTGAAAGTCTTTTTCATCTCTAGTTTGGATGGTTCCATGACCTGACTCATATTGTTAATAACTAACTGGGAAGCACAGCAGGGACCTGCATAATGTGTGATAATGCTTGGAGTTTTCCAGGAGCACAGTAGTATTTTCCAGTAGTGTCCCCAGTCATCATCCTTAGTGGGTCCTTCTGAAGAGGCTGTTGGCAAAACATTCTTTGTAAAAGCAGCACAACTAAGGTAATTAAGAAAACAACCATCACAGCTCATTGGAACTCTTGTCTGCTCTCTGTGATGAAGAGAGTCATTAGAGATTTAATTACTAGAGTTTTTCAAATAGGAGATGACTGTTTTCCTGAATCGGCATGTTCTTCCCCTTCAGAGCACTTGCCTTTCTCCATGGGCCCTTTGTACTGCTGAGATCATTAACCCTCTCTGGTTGGACACAGCTATACCAGGTGCTGGGTTGGTGAGGCTGCTCCAGGGGACTGCTAGGAAGGAAGAAAAATGGAGAGGAATAACCCTCACAGGCTACTTCTGCAGATTGTGCTAGGCTGTAGCATACTGCTTTTCATCCACAGATTGCAATGCCCTTTACAAAGGTACTGTATTCATCAATTTGGAGACAGCTGATATACGAAAAGGAAGATTAAAGGACTTTCCCTTTAAGGAAGGAAATAGTGAATAGAAAGCCATGTATATGACCTAATCTTCCATCGCTGCTGAAGACCTGTATCCATGGCACCCACTCCCTCCTAACAGAGGATAAACGTAGGTCATCTCTTTACTCTTTCTGAGATTTCCCTCTGAGACTAGCTTTCTCTGCCGATTGTTACTCTTTCAAAGAATGCTTTAAAGATGGACGTGCCTGTTTAAAAGAAAGAATTCTTCAAAGACCATTAAAAAGAAAACTATGGGCATTTCTCTTCTTCCCTTGCCCTCTCACAAAAAGGACTAATATTTCAGCTCCAAATAAGGATGTCAAAGGGCTGCCCTTTTCCTGTCACCAATAGCTTTCACCTCCTTTGAAGGAAATAAAAAGGAACAGTAACACTTTTCTTCCTCTTTACTGACCATATTTCTATTAATTTTAATATCTGACTTATGCATTTAGTGATATGGTCACTTTAAGGCTGTTGCCATGACAGTAAAACTAAATGTTAAGAGTTCTGTTCAGAAATAGCCTTATTTTCTGATAATTGCCTACTTGTCTCATCATCATTCTCAACTGCACCGAAGCTCTTGAGGACTGGGAGTACTGGACAAAGCATTAGGGAAAGGGAGCTGTCTTTTCTTCAGCGGATCCTTCATAGTTTGTTTGCTCTTAACAAAAAAGGGATAATGATAGTTTCTGGTCAACACGTGCACCAAAAAGACATATACACTCAAGACACTGAGTGGTTTTGCTATGCTTTTCTAAGGTACTTGCAGTTCCTCTGGACACAGCAATAAGCGCTGACAAAGTCAAAAAAGTTATAAACCAAAGACTGAATATAATGCTTGACTTTGTACTACACATTTAGAAATAATCACAGCTGGAGCACTCAATTCCTGCAAGTGATAATGTTCTTGCCAGTATTTAAAGACTTTGCACATCAAGAAGGTGGAGAAAATCTCTGAAGTTTTCCCTCACCAAAGAAAATCCCCTTAAGAGAATAAAGATTGAATTCAGAGTGTGTCATATTCCTATTAATAACCAAATGGGAGATGAATGAATCTGATCAAATCCTGTAATTATTACCAGGAGATATTGATGAAATCTCAGTGTAATTTTCTATTTCTAATTTCTTTGCCTACATATAACAGTCTGCAAAGTGCTTCAGGGTGCCTTTGAATGAAAGCAGCAGATATTAGTGTAAGATTTATCATTGTTTTGATTATGATCATCTACTTACTCTTTATAAGCATTCTGTGGAATGCATGTATCTGCAAATGAGATATTCAAGGTAATGATAAGATTCTGTATTGCTATTAATTTGCTTATATAATGATTTAATACAACCAGGCTCCTGTTACTGGATTGATTTATTTTCTCCTATTTCTTTAGGCATCACTTAATTATCAGTCCAGTCCTATTGGGAATCAAATAAAGAATGTACTACAGGTAGGAATGGAGTTAATTTTAAAAGATATGCTTACATGAGCTGAGGAACAGGAACTGTTTTGAGACTACAAATAAAACACCTACTGGATTGAAACTGCAGTGTTAAACACATATTATTTAGCATCAGAAACTGTAGTGATAGGACAGGTGATGGGTTTAAAATTCAACAGGGGAAGTTCAAGTTAGATATAAGGAAGAAGTTATTTACCGTGAGGGTGGTGAGGCGCTGGCACAGGGTGCCCAGAGAAGTGGTGAATGCTCCTTCCCTGGCAGTGTTCAAGGCCAGGCTGGACAGAGCCTTGGCTGACATGATTTAGTGTGAGGTGTCCCTGCCCATGACAGGGGGGTGGAACTGGATGATCTTAAGGTCCTTTCCAACCTAAACCATTCTATGGTTAGCTGTGGTCTGAAGAATAAAAACTCCCACATGTTCCCATTTCAAAGGTATTCAACTGACCACCTCTCTGAAGACCCAGATTTTTAGTATGCAAGCACCTTTACTGTAATCCCTGAATTTCCATGATCTATCTGAGAGAGGTATAAAGCAGTTTTGTCCAGCCAGTATCTGCATATGACTGTAAAAAACACTGTGAAGGGGATTGGTGTACCAAGTATTAGCATTTTCTCTCTTCCAGAAATATCTGGCAAGAATTTTATTTATATTTGAACTGCTAGGAAGAGATGGTAATACAGAGAATTTAATGAACAATGCCATTTTGGCAGCATCCATAATAATCTGGAAGCGAGTTACTTGGAAATACACAAGTTCTAATTAACAGGATTAAAACAAGGGCAAACAAAAGCTAGGATTGAAGCAGAACTAGCTAACTTTTGAAGGGATTTGATGAAAGTTAGTTAACTTTCTGTAACGTACATACCATGCAGCATAGAAGTCGTATCTTTAGATTTACCCTGTTCCCACAGCTCTGCGCTTCTAAGGAATTATAAACTGCCAACAATATAACCCAAGCCAAAAACTTCTTTTTCTACTTGAATTTGCTGTTCTCTGGGACTCTTTACAGGTCCCTTTCCCACCTTAGATGCCACCCTTAGACATTAAACTGGAGCTAATGACTCTTGAGTACTGTGGCTGCCAAGGGGTAGTATGAAAAACGTCTCATTACTTTATGGGATAGTATAAACAGTCAGAGAGCCATAATTCAACTTGTTTTCCCCACACTGGCATTAGACAGGCTGAAGTCCTACAAAGTACATTGTTCTTGTATTCCTAACAGCAAAAGACGTCTGAACTCTTAAAAGACTGATCTTAAGGCAGTTGAGCTGCATATCTAGCACACAAACAGGAAAGAGTGCCAACCTGTAGCAACACGCACTTCATTATGATATAACCAGTATTTCACTTGGGTAATCACAACCTATATGCAGATAAAACTACCAGCTGTGTGGTGCAAACAAGGGTTTGTAAGAGGTTTGTTTCAGTGGAAAATGATGAAGTAAACCAGGGAAGCAGTCTGGATGTTTGTTTTAGAGAGCTTTCAAGAGCTCACCTTCTCCTCACCTCCATCTAAATGATACAGTGAAAGACTGAGTGATCCCAGCACCCGAATTACTAACATGAACATGTCCATTCTTTGCCTTCTATTGGTAAAGACTAATTCTGTCAAACCCATGAAGCTGATGGTGTAGCAGGCATAAGTAATTCTTGTTTAGAAATTATACAAGACTGATTAAGTTATTTTAGATTAATTTACTATACAAGCATAATATTCGTACCTAGTCCCA